AGGAGGGAAGTCAATTAATCAAAGCCTTTTTTCCAGACACATTTGCAGCTATAGAGAAGTCTAAATATCACACATGAGCACGTATACATTATGGAAAATGCATGTGCATTGGCCTGACAGCAGCTTTTTAAACAACACATTAATGTCATCCCTCACACTACAGTGTATTTAATGTAGTTTACAAGCTGCAACAAGCAAAATTTCCTTATTCAAGTTCTCTGCACTTTTCCCAATTACCATGTACCTATATATAACTATCAATTGTTCTTATTTAGCAAGAAAGGAAAAGTGAGGCAGGAATTATGCAGTTTTAAAAAAGCTTGCAGAAATGTAAACAGGAATAAAGACTCCAAGGGTGTAAATGCAAAGCCCCAAGAGTGCTATCTTCTGTTGACGGCATGGCAGCAAGGAGCCCAGCCTTCACAAAATGAAGCTGTCCCCTGACCTTCAGGAAACTTATGGACCTACCAGACAACAATGGTACAGAACCGCCATGAGGAAAAAAAAGCATCCCCTCCATATCTGTGCTGGACTCTGAACACTAAAAATATGAGAGCGCTTTCCCAGAGTATAATAAAGTCTCCTTCTCACCTTATTTGTCTTTGCAACTGGAGATTAGAAAAAATTGTTGGAAAAAAAATTTATTTGATGTTCCTCAAAGGATTTATTTTATGATTGTAGCTACTTATATTTAGGAAACTCCTACTGAGTAGGTATCCTGAACTGTGTACATGTTGAGATATGCAATCTTTTGCTAATTTGTAACCCTCTGTTCTTAGAAAAATCTTTGCAATTTGGTAATACACAACCTGGGTCTTGACACAGACGATTAGCAAATTTTTTTTGTTTCCAGAGGCACAGAGGTTTTGTATAAGCATGATTTTTTTTTTTTTTAAGTCATAAGGTATCCAACTAATTGTTTCCAGTGCACTGCCTCTGAAACAGAAATCAGCAACTAGGTATCACATGAACCTACAATGTATACATAAATATAGTTTGGATGACAGCAGTTTACACCTATCGCCAGATTAAGACAGTGTATTAAAAGAAATATTTTTTTTCTCAGTCAAGCATGCTATTAGCATGTGTGGTGTACTGTGGTATACCTGAAAGAAGTTTTCTTGAGGTTCATTTTTGATGTTTTTAAATACCTTTGAGAAAAATATTACTATTTCTAGGGTGTTTATTTTTTTAGAGCAATGGTACAGAAAATTAAAAATTATCTGACTTTCCTAGATTCTATAAATTTAGAATTTGAAAAAGAAAGCCTAATGTAAATTTCCTAAAAATATTTTGCATTTTTGGAGAAATCTGCAATATTACTGAAATATGGACTTCTATATTTAGCTACAGTTGAATGTATGTTTTGGCTAAGAATGTAGTACTTTTAATTATAACACTCACTGTGACAGATATAATTTAGAGTGAAAATTAGAGTGATGGGAACAGTTTCTGGCAGAAAAGTTATGGGAATCTCCTGACTGAGACAATCACAGAAGGATAACCAATCTCCCACAAATATTAACAGAAATGTTATGTTTTGAGAGGGAGGCAGTTTAAACATGCAGTAAAGCTCTAAGAAAATGAAACAAGTGTGTTACTTATTTGTTAAATATATTCTATATACCAATAACTGCCAAGAAAAATATTATTATGAAAATTCAATTTTAATTTTTAAAATTACCACATTTCATTTGTCTCAAAAGGAATATGACTTAAAACAGATATTGAAAATTTATTCTTATATGCTTAATACTCAGCTACTTTTGCAAGTCCATTGGTCCTGGCACAGTTACCTTCCAATAACTTGCTATGACAAAATACCAAGATATCAAGTA